CTCACCTGCCGCCCACCGCCCAGGCTGGCAACGCTCTTCCTCCCTCCTCACACCCACGGGACCCGGGCACAACTTCCGCTCCTCTTCGACAAATCCCTAGCCAAGCCTTCCTTGCCTGAAGCCAACCAAACCAATCATCTCTCAGAAACCCGCTTTATCCCCGCCCCAATCCCTCTTGCCAATCATGGTGGGCGCGGGTACCGCCCTTCCTGCCCTCTTAAGCGAGCGCTGTGCGCCACCGCTCGGCAGTTAGCTGAGCTGGCCTCTGCGCAAAACACCTCCCGAGGGGGCGGGGGAAGGGGCGGGCCGGGCCTGTGCGGGAACCCTTAGGATTGGCCAAAAGATGCTCCGCACTTTGACTCCGCCCACCTCCGAACCCGGACAGCGGAATCGGAGACGCTACTGATTGGTTCTTGACGGCCACTAAGCCTAGAGATGGTCCCGCCTGTCTCGCAAGGCGTAAAGAGGGAGCTTCTCTAATTGGTTCTCAGAGTCTCGGCGCGCTCCTGTCTGCGCCTTAGGATTGGATGGTGTGGTGCTCGCACCGCCCAGGGAGCGTTGGTGGTGATTGGCCGGAGGGTGGACCGGCTATTTGAAGGCGGCGCGCGGACGAGGTACGCACTTCAGTCGGCGGTGAAAGACGGCGGAGTTGTGTGCTCCGCGGCGCTGTGATTCCACCTTCCCCGACCCCGCCATCACCGGACCCAAACGTGGGCCCCGCCGCAGCTGCAGCTGCTGCCGCGGCCCGGCGAGGCAATGGCCAAAGTGTCGGTACTGAACGTGGCGGTGCTGGAGAACCCGAGTCCTTTCCACAACCCCTTCCGGTTCGAGATCAGCTTCGAGTGCAGTGAGGCCCTGACGGACGGTGAGCTGGGCCCGCGCGGGGACGGACTCCTCTCTCCGTAGAGAACGTCCCAGTGGCCAACCGATCTCCCAGGACATTCTCTTTTTCCTCTTCCGCGTGTCCGCGCGACTTGCCCTAGAGGCCATCCCCTAAATACAATCACTCCTCAGGGAGCCGCCGCATCCTTACTTACTCGCCCTGAGCACCTACTCCCCCTGTAGAAAGGCTTTCATTTCCTTTTGCCTGGGAGACCCACGGCCACCCCGCCTTCCCTGTGGCAGAACCCCTCCTGCCACCCGCCCCTGGTTTTCCCCTGGATACCCCCATGCATTCTCTCTTCCCCTGTAGTGAGCCCTTCTCATCTCTTTTTCCCTAGGATGACTCCTGGCTCTAGCTTCGTAACACAGCCACTCGTTTTCCCTGTGATAACTTCTCCCCCCCACGGCATTCACCCCATCTTCCTGTTTGACCCCTAGTCATCCCCTCTACTCCTAATATCTCCCCAACTCCAGTTCGGTTCCCTATAGCTGTCACTATCTGTCCATGCATGCACCCCGAATCGGGGTCCACTCCCACTCTTGAGCCCCCACCCATGGGTGGGAAAGTGGCTTCTAGCTCCAGTCCTGGAAGGTGGCTTGATCCCTCTACTTTTGGATAGCGAGCCACCTCCCCAACTGTGTGTGTAGGGAGCACACTTAAGTCTGAGGGGCGGCGGCATAGCCAGGCAGACATCTGCCTTTTTCCCTCCACTCCATCCAGCTCGCTTAATTGCACACAGTCTTCCCCTCCATTGATGCGCTGACCTGTGTCACAATCTAGCTTCAGATAGTCAGCTGAGAGGTCGACGCCTGCTGTGCATCTTTCCAAAAGTGCTTTCACAGAGACTTATTCATCCGTGTGGAGTAGCCTTAGCTGTCATCACAAGAGAGAGGACAGGAGTCTCAAGGAGCAAAAGCTCTTCAAAGAAAAGCTGTCACACCTCTAAAGGTCACCCCAGGAAATTTTGGCACCACTCCCAGGGTGGGCCTGCTTTCTGGAGGAAGTCTTCCATTAGACCATTTATGGGTTGGTGGTCAAAAGAGAAGATGTAGCAGCTGAGGAAGTGGAAATCCAGAAGCTGGGATGTGCTAACTACCGCCTGGCGGTGGCGGAGGAGTTGTTGCTGCCAAAGCTAGCTGGAATTGGGAGGCTGTGTGCCTGAGGGGTGGGCCAGTGGTCAGTCACTTCCTGGTTTCTCTCAGTCCTTTTTAAATTAAGAAATCTACTTGTGACTAACTATAGAATAAATGGAGTTAAATCCTCTCTGGAACAAGGCAGGGTGTAAATAAATATATAAAGTATCCAGTGAGGCTGTGGAATAAGATTTAATTTAAAAGCCATGCTGAGATGTAAGGAGCTAATAGGTTAAGGGATTCACAGTTCCCAGATGGCAGGAGATCCGGTTTCAGGCAGCCTGTTTGTGCTTCTTGCATTTAAAAATGGTTGCATGGTCATAACCTCATACTTTTATTCCTTATTTATAGAATCAGAGCAGAAAGGCTCCAGTCAACCTTCTGGATATTTTTTAGTAGCAACAGTGATTTCGCCAAGTCACTCCAGCCAGTTTATAGATGTTTTGGCACTAGAATTTTTCTCTCAGGTTCTGAAGCCGGGTTTTTATCTTTGCTCTCATCCTGGAAAACATTTATTTTTCTTTTCTGGTGCTAGGACTCAAATCCAAGGCCACACATCCTACTACTGAGCTACACATCAGCCCATCATTCTATATATTAGAGGTACAGCATCAGCAGAATTTCTTGCTAAATGAAGACAGTCTCACCTGGCATGGTGGTGCACACCTGTAATCCCAGTATTTTAGGAGAGCCCCAAGTTCAAGTTGCCTAGGCAACTCATCTAGACCTTGGGGCTGGGAGTGCAGCTCAGTGCAAAGGCCCTGGATTTAATTCCTAGTACCTCAACAAAACTTAGCATCAACAGGCAGAATACAGTGCTACTGCTAATTATACCTAACCAAGAAAGCTTTGCCTCAGGAACGTCAGTTAAAGTTCCAGGATCTGATTCCTCCTAGAACCCTCCCTGCTGGACCTCCCAACTGGCTTTCTGCCTTCCTCTTGCCACTACTAATTAAAGATCTGACAAAACCCCCAACTCCTAGTCAGGTGACCCCATCTCCCAAGGTCTCTAAGCTCCCTGTGTCTTCTTCTTGGTGTCTGGAAACAACTGGTCCAAGGCACAGATAGGTCCACATTTAATATAGTAGATGTGGGTGTGTCCCCCATTGAGCTGAGAAAGGCAACAGACAAAAGATGAAAAAGTCAGAAGAGCCAGGTGTACTAACCCAGAACTAATGTACTGCAGTGAAAGCTATGTTTGTGTGGTTATGAGCAAAAACAGTGTGAAACAATAAGACCTACTAATACATTATGGTTTGTTTGGTTTTTTTACGGAACCGGGGTTTGAACTCATGCCCTTGCGCTTGCCAGGGAAGCACTTATACCACTAAGCCATCTCCCTGGCCCCTACATTATGGTTTTTAAGAAGAAAAAAAGCAAGTGAGCCAGGTGTGGTGGTGCACACCTGTAATCCTAGCACTTGGGACAGAAGATCAATGAGAGTTCAAGGCCAGTCTGAATTACATAATGAGGCCCTGTCTCAACAAAACAAAACACATAGGGGCTGGGGAGATGGCTCAGTGGAATAAGCGCTTGCCTGACAAGCACAAGGGCCTGAATTCCGAAAAAATAAAATAAAATAAAATAAAAAATAAAACAGCACAAGCAAACACACTAAGGGGTATAGCTCAGTGACAGAATGCCTAACAGTTTCTGTATTCATAGCGTTGGTTTGAGTTTTGTTTTCATACATTGTGAAGGTACGTGACAAATTGGGGCTTCAAGACAATGAAATACAGTCAAGTTAGCTTGCTGTTGCCCAGACGGGCAGTACACAGGTTACATATGTGTATGTAGTTGTGCTGTACATCTGGTAGAGGTGAGTTTGTGTTGTGTGGGTGACTGATGTCCCAGATCCAGGCCTGAGATGTTATACAGCTCTCTCAGAATGGGACCCAACACCCCTTGGGTACCAAAGTCCACACCTGCTCAAGTCTCTGTAAAACAGTGCAGTGTTCGCATGGCGTGATGTATAGCATCCTCTGTGTCAGTCTATACCACTATGACCAGCAAGCACTCTGCCATGGAGTTACAGCCCTTTATTCTTTTTTTTTTTTTTTTTTTGGCAGAACCGGGGATTGAACTCAGACCCTTGCGCCTGCTAGGGAAGCGCTTATTCCACTGAGCCATCTCCCCGGCCCCCAGCCCTTTATTCTTTATTGAGAAGAGATCTTGCTAATTGCTCCAGACTGACTTTAAACTTTCAGTCCTTCAGCCTCCTGAGGAGCTGGGGTTCCAGGTGTGCGCTTCCACACCCAATGTCATTTTTTTCTCTAATGTCTTCTATGATTAAACTCATGCACAGGGTCAAATGTATTCAGAAATGAACTTGTTAAGGGGCTACGTGCAGCTCAGTCTTAGAGCACCTGCCTGGCACGTGTGAGGCCAAATTCAACCCCAGTGCCACAAAGTAATGGAAATAAAACCTGGAAATATGTCCAGTTAAGCCACTTCAACAAATTTCAGAGGGTTTCAGTTTGCAGGCCCAGTTTCCGCCGTCTTGTGCCATCCATACCAGGCCTGTCAGCCAGCTCTAAGGTGGGGTCAGCACTTGCCTTTCTCTCGTCTGGTTGGTGTCCACAGAGCCTTCATGGCCCGTTTCCCACCGGCATCTGCAGTACTTTGTCTCCTTTGGCAGCATCCACACCATCTTTGTTGAGTTTTGCCAACATGAGTTTGGGTTGGTTTGTTTGCTTTCATTTTGTTGGTTTGTGTTTTGGTTTTCTGAGACAAGGTCTCACTATGTAGCCCAGACTGGCCTCCAACTCATGGTGATCCTTCTGCCTCAGCCTCCCAAGTGCTGGGATAACAGGCATGTGCCACCACACATTATATCACTACATTTAACATAAATCCATAATGCTGGGGGTTTGACTGAACCTCACTGAACCAAATGGCCACCCATATCCCACAGACTTAGCATCCCAAGGGCCTCAATGAAATCACAGAGGGACAGGAAGCAGTGTATATCGAGGAAGGGCTTAGGGCTCAAGTGACAGGCCTCTGCTGTCATGGCCCAGTATCTGTGCACTTCCAGCGCTGGATGCTTATGTGATGCTGGACCCAAGGACAGAGCGGCTTCCAAGAGTTTACTTCCTGTGAAAATCACAGCTTGTGAAACTTCCCCCAGCTGCTGGAGCCGTGGGTTGTGTAATTTCAAAGAACCTAAAATAAGTTTCCTGTCTCCTGCCAAGCCTCTGTGTACCAGGATGACCTTGCCCCTGATACACTTGGCCTGGAGTATCTGTGATTGACAGGAGGGTCCCCATAAGCCCTTCCTCTGGCCTCCGTGCGCATGCTCGGGCTGGCCTTTTTCCTGGATGGGAGGCACAGTTGGGTTTCTGAGGCTGCCCCTTAGAGTGTTTGCTGAGCCCTCTCGCTGTGTGTCCATAAGTAAGCATGACTTGCTGCTGGGTCTGGGTGACCTGGGGACCAGCTGGCTGTCCTGCTGGATTGGAATCTGCCACCCTGCCCTGCCCTAGTTGTCGAGGGATCCACTCAGCTCAGTGGCACCAGTCCCTGTGTGTGAAAGAGGATGCTGCTTCCTATCCTGCCGGCACCCGATGGGCAGGGCCCAGAGTGGCCCTGCTCCTTGCTGTTTCCTCTGCCACACACCGGTGTCACATGGCTTTTAATTCAGCCCCTGCCATACGGTTCACACTTGGCCTCTGAGAGGCCTAAGCTTCCTAGAGGCAAGCCTCAAGGTCGCCAGGCAGGGCTGGGCCCGTAGGGAAGATGTCCACTGTCAACGGAGTCGTGGGCCGGGCCCCCAGCTCACAGGCTTCCTCAGCAAATTCAGAAAGTGTCCAAACTAACATGAAAAGCCCTGTCCCCATCTTCTCCCTGTGGGATTGTAGTGCTTTGACCTCCTCATAATGTTCCTACAGACCTGGAGTGGAAGATCATTTATGTGGGCTCAGCTGAGAGTGAGGAGTTTGATCAGATCCTGGACTCTGTGCTGGTTGGACCTGTCCCTGCAGGAAGACATATGTTTGTCTTTCAGGTAAGAAAGATGGCACTGTAGCCCTTGATTAGTAGAAACCTCTGTGTATGTGTGTGTGTGCGCACACGCACACATATGCACTGGGTAGGGGAGAATTTGTTTGAGGGTTTGAGGCAGGGTCTTACTATGCAGCCCAAGTATACCCAGGCTCCTCTTTTTTTTAATTCTCTCATGCAGTGGCTGGAACCAAGGGTCCTGTGCCTGCTAGGGAAACATTCCCTCACTGAGCTGTCTTCAGCTCAGAAATACCCTCTTTTACCCAAAAGCACACAGTATAATTCACCACTCAGAAACTCAGGTTGAAGGCCAGGTGTGCTGGGCACACTTCTGTCATCCCAGCACTTAGGAGGCTGAGGCAGGAGGATCACTGAATTCAGGGCCAGCCTGGGCTACACAGTGAGTTTCAAGCAGCCTGAACTACATAGTGAGAATTTAAAGCCTATTTATTTATTTATTTTTTATGGAACCGGGGATTGAATTCAGGACCTTGTGCTTGCCAGGCAAGCACTTATTCTACTGAGCCATCTCTGGCTCCTTAATAGTGAGAATTTAAAAAAAAAAAAAAAAAATCAACCTACTGTAATGGAATGTATCTGTAATCCCAGCACCCATGGGGCTAAGACAAGGGAATCAGGAGGTCAGTGTCAACCTGGGCAATTTAAGAAGACCCTGTCTCAACATGAAGAATAAAGAGGAAGCTGGGCATTGTGGCACATGACTATAATCCCAGCACTCAAGAGGCTGAGGCAGGAGGGTTGCCACAGCTCAGGGCCAGCTTGGGCTATCTAGTGAGTTTAAGGCCAGTTGAAACTATGTAGCAAGACTGTTTCAAACAAACAAAATAAAACTGAATAGGGATGGGGATGTTACTCAGTGGTGCCCCTGCCTAGCCAGCATGAAGCCCTGGGGTTCTATAGTTCAGCTGGGCTCCTGAGCGTTCTGACCTCACTCACATGTACTTGTCAGAGCCTGACAAGAAGCTGCTACAATACAGCCAGTCCTCTTCACTGATGGGCCTCCTGCTGAGAAAGTCTCTGGAACACTGAATTGGTGAACACTGAAGCCCACAAGGAGAAACAGTGTCACTTCTCATTGACTGCTCAAGCCAGAACTTGCTCTGTATGTCTCTGTTTAAAGATTTCGAGTTGGCTTTCCTGCCATAGTTCCTGAGACATAGTTTCTGACTTGTGCAACCTAAGATTTCTTCTTGCTCAGAGCTGCAGAGGTTTCAGTCCATGGCTTGCTGGCTGCCAGGCGGAAGGGCCTGGTGGAGGAAGGCTGCTCATCTCATGGAAGCCAGGAGACAGGGCAGGCAGGAAGAGCCCAAGAGGTACAGCCTCCAAAGGCACACCCCAAGCAGGCGTGGCAGTGCATCCCCACAATCCCAGCACTCTGGAGGCTGAGGCAGGAAGCATTGCTGTGAGTTCCAATCCAGGCTCAGCTACACAATGAAACCCCATCTCAAAAAAAAAAAAAAAAAAAAAAAAAGCGGCCCAACACTCAGTGGCCCACAGCAGCCTGCATCTCCATCAGGAGTGCCTCTAGCTAGGACCTAGCTAGTACACTAGCCAGGAATGCATCAGTAGGTAACCCACCAACCAGCATAGTGCCTGTGCTCCCGCCTCCCTCAGCAAGCCCTACCTCTATACCCACGAGGCTTCTGAGGATTGGTGGGGGAGTTAAGTCTAACCACAAGACCCCTCATTTCATAGACATTATAGATTCCTTCCCATTAAAGTTAGTCCTGGCCCTGTACCTCACTAAAGGCATACAGTATGTCCATAAGGTTCTCTAGCACTGTGCTTGGGGATCTTTTGTTTTGTTGCTTAGTTTTTGGAAGCAGGGTCTTGCTATGTATTTGAGGCTGGCCTTGAACTCACTATGTATCCTAAGCTGGGCTCAAACTCAGGATCCTTCTGCCTCAGCTTCCCAAGTCCTGGAGTGACAGGCATGCACCACCACACCCAGCTATCTTTTGTGTTTTGTTTTTGCAGTACTAAGGATTAAGCCCCAGGTCTTATCACAGAGCTCATTCCCAGTCTTTTATCTTTTGAGATAAGAGTCTTGCTAAATGCCCAGCTGGGTGCAAATTTGTGATCTTCTTGCCTCAACCTCCCAGAATGCTGGGATTAAAGCTGTGCACAGCCACCTTTTAAATAACAAATTTAGCAAGAAAAAACACAGGAAGTGACACTAAGGAGACTGCCAGTAGAGCCCTTGCCTGCTCACAATAAGAATCCTGAAACGAGAAGGCAGGATGTAGCTGGGCATGGTGGTGCACACATATAATCCCAGCACTCAGGGAGGCTGGGGCAGGAGGAAAATTAAAGCAACTCAGCAAGACCCTGTCTTGTCTTTTTGTGTGTGTGTGTAGCCAGCTCAGCCCACCAGGGGGCGGGGCTGGCTGGCATGTGGTGCTGGGGGATTGAACTGTGGTCCCTGTGCTTTGCTAAGCTTGTTCCAAGTAGGTGCTTTAGACCACTGAGCCATCTCACCAGCCCCAAGACCCTGTCTTAAAGAAGACATAGGGATGTAAGTTGGTGTGCAGATCCTGGGTTCAGTCTCCAGTACCACACGCATACACAAAGAGGGACGGATGTCACCTTGCTCAGCGTTTGGGTGGAACATGAGTATTGAGTGACTCTTGCTTTGCTTTGCTTTGCTTTGTGTGTATCTCCAAATGGCCACAAAGGCATTATAAATACTGGTTCTGTGGTCACAAATAAATGTTCCTAAGTGACTGCAGACATGGGCTCCATGCACAAGGAGGTGGGGCCGTCACTGCCTATGCCCACCAGCCTGGCATCACCTATTGGGAATGAAGCTGAGAGGTCTCAATCTGCTTGCTGGCCTCCCTCTCTGCCACTACTCCCAACCCAAGTGACCATGTTACCTCCGGCTCTGGCATCCCTACCTCCTCCAGCATGCTCCACCGCTTTAGGTCAGCCTACCAGTGCATGACCTGGGCAGTCACATTCAGGTTGACACTGGGCTGTCACTGTCTGATAAGTTGCGGTTACATATAAGAGGCCCTGTATTGTCATTTGTAGGAGTTCCATGGTACTCCCTTTGTAGCTGGTCCGGGGCAGGCACTTCTGTCCTCTGCTGCTCCTACAGCATCTGTGTCGCTGCTTCAGCCATCCTCCTGTCACAGCTGCCTGGCCACTGTGATCACCTGGGCTCTTACCTCCCACTGGACACCATTCTTCTTCACCTTTACCTGGCTGGCCTGGTCCAGCCTTTGTCATTTTCTTTTTCAGGCACTGGGGATTGAACACAGGGAGTGCCAGGCTACATCCCCAGCTGTTTCATCTTTTTTTTTTTTGCAGAACTGGGGATTGAACTCAGGCCCTTGTGCTTGCCTGGCAAGCGCTTATTCTGCTGAGCCATCTCCCCGGCCCCTCATTTCATGTTTTGAAACAGGATTTCATTAAGTGGCCCAGGCCGGCCTCAAATGTCTACCCCTCCTGTCTCAGCCTCAGCCTCCCAAATGGCTGAGATTATAGGCATGTGCCACTGTACCCCACCAAGTTTGTCTTATACCACTTTCCTCCTTAGCACCCTTTGACCCCTGAAGATAAACCTTTTTTGTTGGTTTTAGTTTTGGTTGGGTCAAGATCTTACTGTGTAGTTCAGACTGTTCTACTCATGTAGATCCTCTAGCCTCAGCCTCCCAGGTGCTAGGATTATAGGTGTGTGCCACCATGCCCACTCCCAGCCCACATTTATCATTTAACAATCATGGTTGATTGGTTCTGTCTGATCCCAGTTGACTGAAAACCCCTGCTGGCCCAGAGCAGACGTCATGCTATGAAAGCATGTGTTACGTAGAAATTTCTGGGCTAACGATCATGGCTAAGGCCCCAGATGTCTCTCCTCCAGGCTGACGCACCTAACCCAAGCCTCATCCCGGAGACAGATGCTGTAGGTGTGACTGTGGTCCTCATCACCTGCACCTACCATGGACAGGAGTTCATCCGTGTGGGCTATTATGTCAACAATGAGTACCCCAATCCAGAGCTTCGAGAGAACCCACCCCTGAAACCCGACTTCTCCCAGGTGAGCTACCTCTCAATTCCTGTGCATTGGGAGGGGTGAGGCATGGGAATGAAAGCTATTTTCAAATCATGCTTCATTCCTAGTGTCAGTTGAGAGAGAATATGAGTCTTTGATTCTCATGGAGGTACTCCAGAGAATCAGGACCAAGTAGCCATGCCTGTTCCTGGCCCTGGTCACAGCAGTCCTGTGACTGTGCATGTGGTAGGGACGAGATAAGCAGCTTCTGCCCTTCCTGGGCTTAGAGGTGTCCTAGCTCTACAGGCGTCATGACAGCGCACAGGGATAAGAACTAACACTGCTCTTCTGCCCTAGCTCCAGCGGAACATCTTGGCCTCAAACCCCCGTGTGACCCGCTTCCATATCAACTGGGACAACCAGGAAGACAGGCTGGAAGCTATTGAGAATCAGGACCCTGCGCTGGACTATGGCCTCCCGCTTAGCTACACACCAGCCAAGGGCCTGGCCCTTCCAGGCTGCATCCCCAGCCTCCTTCCCGAGAACTCCATGGACTGTATCTAGTGGGGCCACTAGGCCTCCCAGATCTGTATGGGGCATCTTCAAGACTTCAGGGCCATCAACTGTTCAGGCCTATCAGACATGGCCCCAGGGACTGAGTGGACCTCAGGTCTGTCCTGGCTGGGCCCACAAGATCATCTCCGTTCCACTAAGCAGCAGGTCCCTGGGTTGTGCGTTCTCCCTGACATGCCGTTCTCCTCTTCACACACTGTTGGTTCTCGTGCCACGAGTGCCATGGACCCAGAGTTCTTTCCTATACTTGCCTCCCTTGAGGTACTCTTGGTTGATACCTGGCAAGACCCCCATTCCTGTCCCTTCACAAACATCTGGCTGAGGCCACTCTGGCTTCCCTGTGTCACAGGCAAGGTATCTGGTTAGGAGGTAGACTTGGATACAATCTTTGTCCTTCTTCCAGCTGAAGCTTGAGGTCTTTCCAGTCCAGCAGTCCCTAGAAAACAACCCAGCACACTTAGGGACAGTGGCTGTTGTGGGGAGAAGCTGGCACGTGGGAGGCACCTGCTATGCCTAGACCACTGCCCTCCAAAGCCACAGTGATTTGGGGCAACAAAGGCCTCTGGTACCCCAGAAACCTTCAATATACCCTCCACCTCTGTACCCAGCTGCCTCTGCTATGTGGATGCTGTTGTGATTAGTTTGTAAATTAAAGTGTTTTTATATTAAAGGTGTTGGTTGTCTAAAAATAAAAAGCGCTTCATCTGGACTGCCTGTTTTTGTCTTAGGCTGAGGGAGCCTTGTCCTCACCACTTGCCTAGGGGTGGCCTCTTGCCTGTCCCTCCTGGTGGCCAGCCCTTCTCCCCTCACTGTTGTCCTGTTCCTGTCTCAGTGAGTAGTACAGCTGTGTTCCAGGCTGAGGGTTGGGGAAGAGCTTTTGTTAAAAGTTAAGCAAACCAGCTGTTCTTGCACACAGCCTGCCTTGGGATGTTTCAGGCTTTTGACCTTGACCCACAGGAAGAGAGCAACATTGTGAGCTAAGTACACACATAAGGCTTTTACTAGCTTTCACTTAGCAGAGCTCCATGGCCAAGGCTGGTACAGTTTGGCCTGTCAACCACCCCCACGTAATGCACAGAAAGCCCCAGTCTCCATCTCTGCACTGTGGGCAACCTGGAGACACAAACAGCTACTGGGCAGTGCGGGTCGTGCAATTCTATGGGGAGCAGCAGGTGACAGTCTCCGCACTTCCTGCGTGAGGCTCCTTCTTAAGTGGCCTCTGATGGGGGGTGGAACGATGATTGTGCGCCCCCCCCCCAACACATTTGGAACCGTCTAGAGAGTTTCGATTGCCACCGCCAGCAGGAAGATTGGCGGCACCTCACAGAGCAGAAGACAGTCCCCTCCCAGGCTGAGACTTGACACCTATGTGAGCTTTAAGATTCCGAGCTCTCTGGAGCGCCCAGAGGACAGGAGGGCCTTTTTCTGGTCCTGTACAGTAGGTTTCCTCGACGTGGTCTGAGGACGAGGAGCAATTCCGAGCCGGGCTCCTCCTGTGAACGATGAGAGCGCTCACGACCACCTGCTTGACAGAAGCGCTGAGAAGCGGAGCACTGAAGCGTTGCGCTCCTTCCCCAGTGCCAGCCCAAAGCTAGTCCCCGCCGAGGGATGGCTAAGGGGCTCTCTCCCCGCACCTCCCACGCTCTCAGGTCCAGCATCCTCTCGCGTCCCGGCTGTGGCTGAGGAACCCAGACCCCGAGGTACCCGGTCAGGGCTCCACGGCACCGCGCGTGTGAACGACACGGCTTGGTGGCCCGCAACCTCTAACCCTGCGCCGGCCGAGCCCTTCCCCCGCTGGCAGGTGGACAGCGGCAGTGCCGGGAGGGCCGTGGCGTCAACCTCTCTGGCTTGCGGCCGCTGCCGCACTGGGCGGGGGCAGAGGACTGCGGCGCGCACGGGGCCAGCCGGGCGCCCGCCGGGACTGCCTCCTCCTCCTCCTGGGTCTAGGAGCGCGGCGCGGGTGCCCGCCAGCCTCTACCGCCCCGCCCGCCCGGGCCGCAGACTGCGCCTCCGGCCCGCCCTCTCACCCCCGGATTGACACTGGACGTTCTGCAGGGGCCGTCCGCCTAGTGTACTGCAGCCAATCGGATGTCTCTCAGAGCGAGCCCCAGGCCTGTCAGGAATCTCTGCCAATCAGACACGAGTACCCGCCCAGCTGAAGCCTCGCGAGCCTGTAAATGGCCGGGATCTGCGGCGCGCGTCATGAGCTCAGGAACCTATGCCGATGCAGGAGGGCTTGGGAAGACCAATGGGGAATAGTGCGGCATCGTCAATCAAGGAAAGCTAGCCCAATGAGCTGCGGGCTGCGGGGGCGTCACGGACAGCAGCAGCGGACTTGGGCTGAGGTTCCCCGGCGGGCGGGCGCGGAGAGACGCGGGAAGCAGGGGCTGGGCGGGGGTCGCGGCGCCGCAATCAGCGCAGCCAGCCCGAGGGGCCGCCGCCTCCGCCGCCCAGCGCGATCCGGG